TATGTTCACTGTCCAAGGAACGATCGATAGGTTCTTGTTTCGCAGGTATTTATGTGTGCGGATGCAGGGTGTGTATCTCAGCCAGGTTGCACAAGAAATAGCGAAAGGTTATAGATCTGTGACTCCAGCAGCAAAAAGAAAGTTTCACAAAAGAGGACACAGTTTGACAACAAACTTCTCCGACCAACGCTGATCAGTCTTTCCTTCAATCCTTCCATGCTGTGCTATTTTTTGATTCAAAATTAAATTTCCCTTCTGGGATAAATAAAGTATTTTTTTTCATTTCATTTTAGGGGCCTCTATCTTTTACAGAGACGTTTAATTGCTTTTGGTCACTTTCCTTTGAGAGATGAGGCTGTCAATCATGTTAAAACAAAAGCCTTGCCATGCAAATTTGTTGCTGTAATCTCACAGACTACATTTGTAAATCTGAGATATGAGTGTGTGTGTGTGTGTGTGTGTGTGTGTGTAACATGTCCACATTACACGATAAAACTGGATGTACACTCCCTTCCAAAGTATCTCAACAGGCGAGTGAAATTTGATGTTTTCACCATTAATAGAGTAACAACGTTGGACTTTTGATGCATTTTCACCAATGCCATTACAGATAAGTGCACATATTTTTTTTCTATCTAATTGCAGAGAACATGAAGTCTCTCCTGTACCAGAAAAAACACATATTTTTATGCCTGCTCTTGTCATGGTGGCCCACACATAAAGCTTTACACACATTGACGAGAATAAGAAAACTGCTTCCACTTTGATGCCGTATTAATTTTTATGGAACATTATCTGCCAAAATTGTACACGTGAAACTTTATCTGCTTGTCAATGTTCAATTTGAGCCAATATTTCGTTTTATAGCCTTTATCAGTCAGTGGCAATGATGACGCCAGTATCATTGTGCGTTTCACATGAAAGATCTGAAACCAAAAGATGAAATTAGAAGGCGCCTACCAGTTTTTATTTAATGATTTATGTGTTTTAAAGATGCATTTCACTGTTACTTATAGATACCATATGGGCACGTGTGGGCTGATTAAAGGATTCCTGGTTTGATTTCAAGCATGCTACTTCCCTGTTCTCTCATCCACATTTCTTGTTTCTCTGCACTCTTCCTATTGATTGTACTAAATGCAAATGCCTTCAAAAGTAAAATCTTTAAAAGAAATGATTGTTTTGGATCCCCACTTTGAGGTGTGCGAGTTAGCGACTGACTGACGGGAGGAATTCATCGCTCAGGTGCTATCGTCGTACTTTTGGCACACATGGAATTGCAGTGGGTGCCTAGCCTTCATTTCAGTCGATCTTTTCATCTGTTGAGATTGCAGTTGGAGCCAGAAGACACACACCAATATGAAGACCAAAGAACAGACTATGACAGAAAACAGATGATTGGTAAGAAGAGAAAACAGAAAAGTCATTGAGCACCACAGCACATGAAATGGATAAACCAAGAACAGCAGTTTGGAAAGTTTTAAAGGAAGACAGGAAACTACTCCGACATCAAAAAGAATAAGAAAAAAATCGCAGGGCAGGTCGCCAGCAGACACCTGAGGCTGTTGGGGAAAATCCTTTTGAGCTGTGAGGGAGAATCTCAAAACAACAGCCAGTGACATTACTGTCAGTCGAGAGATCATAGGTGTAAAAGTATCACAAGCTTAGAGAAGACTTCTGCAGCAGAGATACAGAGACGATACTGCAAAGGATTCAAAGGTTGGATTTGCCAGAAACTGCAAAGAGAAGCTATAGAGATGGACAGATCAGACTAAAATTCATCTTTACAAAAACGATGGAGTGCAGACAGTGGCTAGGCAAACATGGATAATTCTGCAGCACAGAATGGTCTGACTTACCTCGTTATCATTCTGCTATAGAAAAGAGAAGCTGAGCTACGGATGCTGCAACTGTTTTCCCTCAAAATAGCGAAGATGGAACTGTTTTGGTTTAACATTTGCATGCAGGGAGGCAAATGTCAAAAACTGATGCGGTAGAGTGCTGGCTTGAAAGATGCTGTTCTTGTTTTACGTTCCAAAGGAGATTTAGAAAGTAGTACCACGTAGTTTGCAGAAGAGAAAGTCGTTTGAAATGCCAGTGGCAGGCTGAAACCCTCAGTCAACACTCTGTGAGTCAGACTAGTCGGGAACGGGCTCATTGCATTTTATTGATGCTGATGAAACCAGCAGCAGGATGAATTCTAAAATGCAAAAGACACGTTTTGTTGTGCTACATATAAAGCAACTAATCCAATCTCACTTGCCAGACCTTCATCCTGCAGCAAGACAATGGGCCCAAACACTTTACCAAAGCTTTTAGCGGAGACAAAAACAGGAAGGTGTTGCACTGACAAGCTTTAAACACTATCGAGCATTCTACCCGCTGAAAAGGAGGTTGAAGACAGACAAAGGTCAACCGAGGGCAACTGCTTTGAAAAAAGCATTTACAACAAGGGGTGAACATTTAGCTATGTTAATGGGTCGTAGACGTTATGCTGCAAATGCACTAAAGAGCTGTGCAATCAAATAATCGACTTTTATTTCCTTTGACATTTAACTGTGAACTAACTTTTGCACGTCTGAAATAATTCAAAGCACCTCAGAATTACATTTTTATAAAAAATAAAAGGTCAACATGCATGTGAATACGACTGGCAGGATATAAAGGCTAAAAACCAGCATCTGCTTCGGACTCGTCTTTTTCCGATCTTGAATTTGAATGCCTAAAGTAGGCAAAACAAATCATTTTACTTTACCGTCATCAAGTATGCAAGTAAAAAGGGGTCACTGATAGATTCTACAAATCTGCTGCAATCTTATGACATCTAGAAATCGGATAGTTTATTTTTGTTTCAGCAGTGAGACTTAGTTTTTGGGTTAAGTTTAGAGTTTTAACCAAGTCAGGTCCGGGTCGGTCGAAGCTATGGCTAAGGTTAGTAAATCTGCATGTAATGAATAAAACTCTACACAAGCGGTGTAAATTAGTATAAATCTTCAGTACTAAAGTTTGTGCTTTCTGCAAACTGCATCCGATTGTTTCATGTCACATTATCTTGACAGGCAGTGAGCTGTCTTTAGTATACAGAGGATTTTACAGATCTGCACAGCCACTCGCGCTTCTCCTGCTCTGCTGTTTTGTACCGTGGTGTAGCTGTTAGGAACTGCTGAAGTTTGACAAAACAGCACTTTCTCCTGTGATGAAAATAGACGTGCTTGATTGCGTTTTTCCTCAAACAAAGTGCTACCTTGATCCCGACTGAAAGCAGAGTGCTCTGAAGCTGCACTGTACTTTGTCATAACAGACAACAAATTTGAATCCGCTGTCTTTCCTGTTTTTTTTTTATTTTGTAACTAAAGGTTCTTTTAAAAAGCTGCTCTCCTCTGGTTTTATTTATGCCAGACTCTTTTTCACACAGCAGATTTTTGTGATATTAAGGTCGCTCAAGCCAGGCGCACAGTCGTGACTTGATAAACATCTAATACAACAGAAAATTTAAATATACAGCACAGAGAATTCACAAAAGGTTCACATGATTAATATATAAACCACACTTGATGTAAGCAATGCATCACATACAGAAGGCCCTCCTGCAGCCAGCGTTATGTTTAAAGTGCCTGAATAGCATCATGCCAAAAACAGACTCAAATAGTGCTTGAAAGCAGCCATCGCTTTGTATCTGTCAGAAGATGTGTGGTCAAATGAACGTGCTGCTCGTCTCAGATAATACGCGTGTGTTTTTGTGTGCGAGTCGGAACAAGTTGTGCAGACAAATTGGACGACTCCCCGCTGCGAGACAATGCTGCCTGGTTGCGCAGATTTCTGTGTTGTAACGGTTGAATGGTTCTGCCGTCTCGCTGACATGCTTCACGATGTGACGGGGGATCTTTCATTCCTCCCGTCTTCTGTCTCGTTTCCAATCATGCTGAGCTCCTCTTAAGTGTCTTATGAAGTCTAAATTTTAGGGTTCCTCAGGAAGAATTAGTTCACCTGCACACGTGCTATTGAAGCTGTGATGTATTTTAAACCACTGTTTGGATGTGTTTTGTTTTACTCTGTTGATACAGATCAGGGTGAGAATATATTTACCCTCTGAACTCCAAGCAGTTACTGACATTTCTTGCTCCTGTCTTTATTTTTTTTTTAAACTGTAATATGAAGTCCTGGACCTCTATGGAAACAACACAACCATGGCAACCTGAGGAGAGAAATTTATTTTGTGCAGAATATTACTTTTATAACATTAAAAAAAGAGAGAGAGAAAGAAACAGGTTGCAGATTTTTAAGTGCTTTTTAAAACTTTTTTCAGAAATTTAAAAAAAAAATGGAATCAACATGTGCTCACGTGTTACCATTCTTTGCACAATAATTTGACCACTTATATTGTTTCTATGCTTGTCTCCTCAGTGCGTTGTGTAAGCCTGCAGTTCAATCAAGTTTTTGAATACTTCAGATCTCTGAATCTGTTTGGGGCACAGAGCTTCTAAATGAGGCATATCGAAAAAGTGATTTCAATAAATAAGCACAATTTTAAGCCCAGATCTGTTCAAGTATCTCAACTGAACGGCGAATCTCAGATGATTCATTCGAGGCTATGAAGCGACAACAATTGGAAAGTTGCAAATGTGATGATTCTTTTTGTTTAGGCAGTTTTGTGGCTCTGATAAATGCTGTCATTTTTGATAATATTTTGAAAGATAAGAGCCTTTCAAAGCTGCTAGCAAGTTTTGGGGTTCAGAGGTTCGATACAAACGATGAACGGATGACTGTAAGAAAACAATGATGCAAGAAAATGAAAAGGAAGCCACAACATGGACACAAAGTAGTTGATCAACAGCTGAACCTGACAGTGTCACCCCAGTAAAAACAGTTTCCACCAGGCTCATCCTAGACTTGGATTGTATTCGTGCTACTTCTCATACATTTTCACTGAAGCTCATGCAACTCTCATGTACGCTGTTTGGCTCGGTGTCACGCTGAAAGTGAATCTGACCCATGCACAGGTTTCTGGGGGTCCCTCCAGGAAGGGGAAGCTGCCCTCTGACCGGCCCTCTGCCCTTTGACCTCATCTACACAGACTACCACGGCCTGCAGCAGATGAAGCAGCACATGGGTCTTTCACTGAGGAAACACAAGTCAGTCCTTTTCTTTCTTTCTTTCTTTCTTTCTTTCTTTCTTTCTTTCTTTCTTTCTTTCTTTCTTTCTTTCTTTCTTTCTTTCTTTCTTTCTTTCTTTCTTTNTCTTTCTTTCTTTCTTTCTTTCTTTCTTTCTTTCTTTCTTTCTTTCTTTCTTTCTTTCTTTCTTTCTTTCTTTCTTTCTTTCTTTCTTTCTTTCATGTCAGATGCTGTAATTTCTGTTGGTTAACTGAGCTCTAAGTGCAGTGTTTGTTATGTCCCTTTTGCTTAACAGTAATTGCCTTTCTGATGAAATACTTCACTGCTGGCTTGTTCACTGGCTGCGTTACAGGCTGCTAGACACTGGGTCCTAATTCCACTGCGCATCAGCAAAAATTCTCCCCTTCCAATGTGGCCTCTTTAAACACTAATCAATGACCTGAGTGCCAGCTTCTGAGTTGATGTTGCTTTCTTTTACTCAACCTCAATCTGGGCGTCTAGGCATGGGCTTGTAATGAATGTGCTGGCTTTTCCATAGGTCTATAAAAAACACGGCACATTTATCCGTAAATGCTTCGACAAACCAACACGTTTCGATGCTGTGAGCAAACTCTGACAATAAATGCAGCTGGCAAAGTTTTTGGTCTTTTGTTCCAGCTGGGCAGCGGTGGAGCAGCCACAGTATAAAAGCAAATCCTCTTTTTTTTTTCTCCTCCAAACAAAGAAGAACAAAGCAAACAGTTTTTAATGCAAACTGTTCTCTGGCTCTGGCCAGAAAATCTATTTATGAAAAAGGAAAAGAAAACAAAACATTTAAGTTATGGCAGTATGAAAATAATGAGAATCATCAGGGGTATTATACAAGAGTTGGATTATATTGTCAAGTAAGAGGAGACGGGTGCTCCATTCATTAAATAGCTGAGCAGCGGCACACACATTTCACAATCAATCTTATTTCTTATGCATTTTGAATTCTCAAAAACACGGCAGCAGCAAAAGCCTCCGCTGACTTCAATCAACATCAGTCCAAGGTCGGCTGATCGACCAACACTCCTGAGCTGTCACAGAGTGACAGACCAAGACTTTCATTTCCTCCACAGCCCTGACACTGATTAGGGATGCAGGGCATTGATAAATCTTATCAGCTTGGATTACATCAATTGATTTTTGACTTCCTAGTGTGAATATTTACTGCTGATTAAGTGCTGATAAGTAATTTTCTCTACATCTTCTCTTAAGTTCCTTTTTGTGAACTACATATAAATGTTCCATCCCAGTTTTTTTTTGTTTTTTTTTTTTTTCAGTTTGATCTCTTTAACTCTCTGAACTCCAAGCTGTCTCTAGGCTGTTGGCTCATTTTTACATCAATTTAAAGGCCTGCAACTCTCTGGAAACAGCACAACCATGGCTCCAAGGAGAGAGAAGTCAGAAATGTCATCTGCAGAGTCATAAAATGAAAGCGGAATTTGTATCTGTATTTTCTTTTTCCAAAAACAGCATAAAGTCTGGAATCAACATGTACAACAGTTTTGTAAGTTTCTGCAAGTAAAACAGCACTGAAAAAATGTTAACTCAGCGTGCTATGGATATTTTACTTCTTTGATTTGTTTAAGTTTCCAGACTTGACTCCTATCTTCTCTGTCTAAGCACAGACTGCAGTTCAGCTGAGAAGTCCGTCAGAATTTTTGTCATGTGACTGCTCATCGCAACTGAGTTACTGATGGCTTCACAGCTGCGATGATCAGAGCAGAATTTTTTGTTTTTTTCACACAATCTGATTTGTGCAGATGGTTAATTATTGGTATATTTCTAAATGACACATGTCAAATAAAGTGATTTTCATGAAATATATTTGTAAGCTTAGATTTGGTTTATTGATGGGCAGCCCATCAGAGGTGATTACTTCAATGTCTAATGAAAGCTTAAAATCTGATTCTATTTGTTTTTTTGGGGGGATCTGACAAATAGTGCAAATCTGCCAATTTGTTAACGATAACATGCCAGTCAAACTCTCAGGCAGATTTTGGGGCTCAGAGGGTTAAACATAACTTAAGATGTTTGAGTGTTGATGTACTTAAAGCAGTGTAACATATTCCCCATTGAAGTGGTGCCTTGATGTTATCAGAGAGAATTTTAAACATTTTCTAGTCCATCCCAAGACACTTGCACATGTAAGGAGAGCTTAGCGTCTCCTTAAAACTTGTTTGGTTCCACTCAAATTCAGTTTAGAACTCATCTGGGTTGTGATCCGTTCCAGCGGAGGGCCGTGTGGCGGCTACACAACAAGGCTGTGATTTAAGCGTCGGTTGACTCACCTTGAGGCCTGCGTGATCTCTGCTCAGCAGGACGGGGGCTGGCAGGGGACATTCACATCCATCACCTCTGACAGCCGTACAAACCAACACTCTAGCAACAAGTCATCGCTATAGTCCCGAGATGAGCCTTCATAACTCAGGATGAGACCAGTATTGTTTTTCATGGCTGTCGCTCATGTTGCTCTGAGCTCTCTCGGAGCATGCAGACTTATTGTGTGTATATATGAGCTGCCGTGGTGCTTTTTTTTTTTTTGCAGTTTGTGTGACTCATTTAGGGGAGAAGGTATTGTTTTAAGCAAGACAGACCTTTGTTCTAATTTTAGCTCGGTCTGTTTTTCTCCAAGGTGCCACATCCGAGTGATTGACACCTTCGGCACTGAGCCTGCTTACAACCACGAGGAGTACGCGACCCTGCATGGATACAGGACAAACTGGGGCTACTGGAACCTTCATGGGCAGCAGTACATGACCATGTTCCGTACGTGGACTGTCATTTCTTTCCTCTAATTCCTACTTTGCTCCTACTGAAATGGAGGATGCATCTGTTCGATCAAACTTGAATTTTCACAGCTGATTTTTCCTCCAAAATGTGACATGTCAACGCATGTACGTGGTGCATGCGTGTGTGCTGCATTCATGTGACCGACAGTGCGAGCAGATTGTGTGAGCTTACGAAGGCCTCGGGCTGTCGAGGCTTCGAGGCAACAGACAGAACTCAGTCAGAACAGCTGCGCCCGCACAGATGCTTCAAGCCCCCTACTGTGGCCGAGCACCACCACCACCATCCACACACAAAAAGAAAACACAAGCACACACACATTCATGTCACATTCGGTGAAACTGATGTGCAGCACCAAAATAATTACAAGTGTCGACGCAGAAAGGTGTCAGCTTTTATCTTAAGTCAGAAAATTGACTGTTTCTTTCTCCTTCCCGCTCGACAAAGCCTCGCTGTGGTAAATTTGCTTTGTGCGTGCTGTAATTATTGGAGTTGTTTTATTTCCTGAAAGCTGAAAATGTGGCATATTAAAGCAGCAGTCTACCACTTTGCACAGCTTATTGAACTGATGAAGCAAGCACTCGCAGCACCAACCAGATGCAATCAAAAATTTCTCAGCATCAGATTATAGAAAGCATCCTTGAGCACCATATTTAGTGTTTCACCAAACTCCACCACGCACATGATTGTAACAGGAAATTATTCAACAAAAAACATGAAGTTCAGCTCTCCAGAATCCCCACACCGCTTCTTTGTATTCTGCATTATCTACACGTGCAGCAGCTTGGATGTTCACAACATCTCCCTTTAGTTTGACCACATTTTTTTCGCGACATGAAATGGACTTGGAACACTGTATTGCCAATTACTGTGTTTGTCCTTGGCAGCCCACACTCCAGACAACTCTTTCATGGGTTTTGTGGCGGAGGAGCTGAATGAGACGGAGAGGCTGAGTATTCAGAGAAACAAGGTTCATAATATGGCTCTCGTGTACGGCAAGGAGGCCAGCATGTGGAAGGTCAGTATGACACCGTAACCTCTGTGTAACTGTCAATACAATCAGCTTTTAGCATTTGTTGCGTGTTTGTGAGAGGAGGAAATGACTTTGCTGGGTTTATAGCATCTCATTACATTGTTGGTGGCAGTGGAAGATTTGTGTCACAGCTTTAATATGTGCAATATATACTTAGAAGGTGCTCAGAATGCAATAAAATTAGGATAAGTTTGGAGAACTTCTGAATATCACTCTCCTTAGCTGTGAAACACCCACTAGATTTAACATTTCGCGCAAACAAATTCCTCCTTCAGGAATCTGGCCTGAAGTCTGATGGTAGAGGAGCAATTGTTTTTGTTTAGAGTAAATTTTCCCTCTGAGCTACTGCCAAGGTTTCTCACTCTTACTGTAACTTTGATGCGTGCTGCAGCCTCCCTCTAGGTTTGTTTCACTCGAATCCGGCTACGGCTTTTGTTCCAGCGCCTGCCACAGCATTCCCCATTTCTCAGAACAACTTGAGTGTAGCATTTGCGAATCTGAGAGATTGCTGTGTAAAAGCCGGTATCGGGGTCTCTCCAGATCGAAAAATACCCCCCATTGTTGAGAGCGTTGTCTTCCTCCTTCTCAATTTGTAGGCTTGCAGTGGAGACTTGGGGCTTGTAAAGGTCCTGTGAGAGGAAGAGTGACTAATACTTGATGTCATGTTCTCCCTTCTCCTCTACATCTGTCTCTCCCGTTTCTCTTCCCTCCTTCTGTTCTCACTCTGTACTGCGCTGTGTTCATCAACTCATGATGCATCATTGATGGATCCACATAGCTTCAAGTAAGTATACCTGCTCTTCACCGACATGACTGAATCCCCAAATTCAAGAGTGCTCTTAGACTTTTTGTTGCCTAAAAATAAGTAGTTCACAATAAACAGTCATTTCAAAATGTATGCTTGAAGTCTATTAGCTAACATTTAGACTTTACCAAAATATACTGTAGGCTCGCCCCGTAACATGAATAATTAAAACTTAAACTAAACTCGTAAATTAAGTTTTGTCATGCCTTTTTTTAATTTACCCTGGCAAACACGCACTACAGACGACACAACAACAACAACAGCCCTTAGCTACAGTTGTCAGTGAAAGATTAAACTACAAACCTTTTTCTTTGAAGCCTATCATTTCTGAGTGTTAGATGTTGTGCTGACAGTTTTTTTTTTTTTTTTCCCGTGGATTATTATCACTCCCAGTAAAAGAAAATGCGGTTTCATCATCGCGTTGCTTTGAGACATTAAAATGGCTCAAGATGAAAAATGAGGATTAACACTCAGATGACATTTATAAATGATTTATGCCTTGAAGACATAGCTTTAGTAAATAATTCATAATGCTCCCCCAGAAAACTTTTTTTTTTTTTTGAGATAAACTTAATTCAATTTTCTCCAGTAAAGCGATTCAAGCAAATTGTCCCCACAGGGGCAACGCTGAAGATACACACCGATCAGCCACAACATTAAAACTGCTGACAGACAACAATGACTCTGTTGTTAGGGCAGCACCTGTGAAGAGGTGGGATCTATCAGGCGGCAAGTGCACTTCTTGACGTTGATGTGTTGGAAACAGGAAAGGTGGAAAAGAAATCTGAGCTACTTTGACAAGGACCAAATTGTGATGGCGAGAAGATTGGATCAGATTTTCTCTAAAAGGGAAGTTCTTGTAGGGTGTGCAGGGGTTAGGAGCTACCACAAGGGAGCCAAACAAGGAAAACTAGTGAACTGGAGACAGGTTCATGGGTGCCCAAGGCTCATTGATGCACATGCTGGCTGTTGTGGTTAGATCTCACAGAAGAGCCAATGTTGCTGAAGATCTTAGTGCTGGCTACGATAGAAAGTGCATAGCAGCATGCTGTATATAAAGCTGTGTAGTATTAGACTGGTCAGAACACCCATGTTGACGTCTGTGCATTGCTAAACACACCTACAGTGAGCATCAAAACTGGATCATGGAGTAACGGAAGAAGATGAAACACTTTTTTTTTTTTTTTACATCATGTGGATGACCAGGTGTTTGTGGAGGAAATGGCAGCAGGATCAAGTAGGAAGAGGCTGACGGAGGTTGCTCTTGGTCCTGGCATTCATGTGGAGGTTACTTTGATACGTACCACCTGTCCAAACACCCCCGCAAAAAAAAAGTTCAGGAATATTTTGAGGCACAAGACAAAGAATTCAAGGTGTTTACTTGGTCTTCAAATTCTCCAGCTCTCTATCCAGTGCAGCATCTGTGGGATATGCTAGAAAAACAAGTCTGATCCAGGATATGCTGCTATAATATCTTGGTGCCTGATGCCAAAAAGAACACCTTCAGAGGTCTTGTGGAGAAATTGGTCAGAGGAAGCTGGTTTTAATGTTGTGGCCGTTCCTCTGCATTCCTCGGGTATTGGATACTGTTACTAGTTACCAAGATGATGATGTTAGTGCTAGAAAGAGCAAACTCATTAGATCTGCTTGTGTATGCCCCATTTCTATCAACCTACTCTAAACCTTTGGGCTTTTTTCCTTTGACCTTTCTAAATGGCAGCTTATAATACTGATAAATCAGTTCAGCTCATTTAACCGGTGAGAGCCATGGTGGTGCTGCTGTTGCTGCTGCTGCTGCTGGTGAAGTGAATTACAGTGTATAAAGTAAACATCGTACAAATTAATTTGTGAAAAGGCAAATAAAAGCATATCTGGCACCCTCAGACAGGCTGTTTGTAGTCAGTTGAGACTGCTTAGGTAGCTTGTGCTTTCACGCACATTAATGTTGTTGCAATCAGTTCATTAAAAGGGGCTTTAACTTTGAACCGAATCACCGCTCTAAATTCTGCTTCAAAGATGCCTCATTTTTGATCCACTCTGCACTTTTACGCGAGTTTTTAAAGCAGCATAAAGCAGCTAGCTGCTCTGCAACGATGCCAAGTATTCTGTGCAAACTTCAGTCAGAATGTTATTTGATGCGTTAAAGGGAACAAACTTGAAAGCCGTGTCAATATATGACAAACACGAAGCTAAACTAAAACTAATAGACATTTGGAGGACTGAAAAAAAAAAGTAATTTGAATGCAAATACAGATGACCTATCCTTTTAGTCGTGTTTGCTCTGATGAATTAGTCATTTTTCAGTGCCCCTCTTAAGTGCTGCACTCATTTTGCCTCCCTCTGTATGTGTCAAAGGGTAAAGAAAAGTTTCTGGCGATTCTGCATCGCTACATGGAGATCCACGGGACAGTGTACTACGAAACTCAGCGTCCTCCCGAGGTCCCCACCTTTGTGAAGAATCATGGCCTGCTGCCTCAGCAGGAGCTGCAGCAGCTGCTCAGAAAGGCCAAGGTGGGTCTATATTAATGAGGCTCCGAAAAAGCTCTGATGTTTACATCCACAATTTCTGCATCGTAATGAACTGCTGTAAAGACATTTTATGCTTTTGTAGGGTTGAACTTCTGCAAGTATTGACCTGGATATGAGCAGCTCAGTGTGAACGCTCACAATGTGCTGTTCTCTCTCATTTTCCTGACTAGCTGTTCATTGGATTTGGCTTCCCGTACGAAGGTCCTGCCCCTTTGGAGGCTATAGCCAATGGCTGCATCTTTCTGCAACCCAAATTTAATCCCCCTCACAGCTCTCTGAACCATGAATTCTTCAGAGGGAAGCCCACCTCCAGGAAGGTAGATGCTTCCAGGATTCATCATATGAATAAAATGCATGAGTACACACGGCAGCAGTATATAATCTTGACTTGATTTTCTGAGACTAACTGTGATTGTGCTTGTATCCCATTTATGCTCCCCTCAGGTGTCCTCTCAGCATCCCTATGCAGAGCAGTACATTGGCAGGCCACATGTCATCACTATCGACTTCAATAACTCTGAAGAGTTTGATGCAACCATCCGTGAAATCATGAGGATCAATGTATGTTAATTTTCTGCTGTTTGCCATCCAAACTTAGCAGCCCTAACTCCACAAAGTAATGGCCTTCTAATATAATAGTCCACCTTAGTACACACTGCTGCACAATAGCATAGGTGAGAGCATAATTTGCTCTCACAGTCGGGTTTGACCCACTTTGGAAGCCCTCAGTTTTTAATAGAGCTCTTAATCATTGCATCCGACATTACAGCAAAATGCTTAGCTGGCTCTCTCTCTGCTCTCTACACTCCTAATTGCTTGAGATATTGAGCGGCTTAGTAGGTAAACTGTGCCCACACCTGGGTGTGCATGGCAGCCTTCCAGAGGCCAGCCCCGTAGGCAGTAAGCATTGTCCGCAGCAGATCGTATTAATCAATCACACTGTGCTCAATCTGTCACCGGAACAACACGGAGCCACTGCCAAGCGTCTCGTGGTGCCAAAATGCACGTGTGCCTCTACCTGCCAGGTGTGTTAAATAGACCTTATGTTTCCTGCTGATAGAGGCAAAAGAAGTACCAGTTGTGGCACTGATAAATTCTTAAAATGCAGATAATAGGGGAAGGGAAAAAAAAAAACAATACTAATTAAATTAATAAATTAAAACTTTGGAGGTGGAAAGAGCAGAGCTAAAAAAAAGTTTGTTTCTGTAGTCTTGACGTTGCTATGAACATGCATAATTAATTCAGACAAAATGGAACTAAAACGTGTGTGATTTGTCAGTTGTGCGGTTGTTAGCACTCAGCATTGCTACGCCTATTAGGGAAAATCCAACAAGACAGAAAAAGTGAAATGCTGTGTAGTGTGTATTCGTTTTCTATGTGTCGGACTCTATCTCGGCTGGAAGCGGTGATTTCCTGCAGCCTGCCGACCTGTTCCCTTGGTGAAATTTACTACTGGTGCAGACATGCTAATTACTAAACAGCTATGAGAATGTTGCTACTGTTGGACAAAGCCAGACCAAAGTCCTTGCAGAGCAATGCATCCTGTTTTGGGCTAACAAGACCAGAGTCCTACCTAAATGACTGTGGGAGAGCCATGACTGCACTTTTCGTGGTTCCCACAACATAAAACTGCATTAACAGTCAAATCTGATGAAAAAGAGAGAACAAATAACACCTAAAGAGTTTGATGATTTTGACCCAAACACATTTTAAATACAAGTTTTCTCCCAAAGTTGTAAATAGATTGACAACATCAAGCTTGCATCAGTGTAGCAACACAACTGACCGGATGTTTTCTGGTTTGCCGGGTTATAAAGTTATAAAATTGTTCTTTTTAGAGGGGGGGGGCAGAAATTGTGTCAAACAACTGCTATGTTTGCTGTTTTGGATTCTGTCATATATTTCTATTTTTGATTTTCAAAGAGGTGATTTTCTGTCTTTTGATGGCTTCAGCCAGGCTGTTTCCTCAAGTTCTCAGTTTTTATGCTAAGCTAATGAACTGCTAATGGTGGCTTTATGTTTATAATACAAATGTGCAAGTAGCACAAGCTGTGTCATGTGACTCTTGGGAGGTAAAAGTATTTCTTAAATTGTTGAACTACATACATAACTTGTCTAGAACTTGAACAATAGCAGTTTAGTAGACACCAGTCAGCCGCAACATTAAAACCATAATACTGTGGGTCCTTTTGGTTCTTTAGGTTGCAAAGTTGGTTCCTCTGTGGATCAGGCTTGTGCTGGTGCATCCTATAGATTGGGATCTAGGGAGTATAAAGGCTTTGAGCCATTGGTCAAGTTTCTCTCCTGAAAAGTTTTTGCAATGTGGCAGGACTTGTGCTCACTCGTGCTTAATCTTGAGGTGTGATGACGTCAAGGTAACGTCCACATTAATTCCAGGACCCAAGATTTCCCAGCAGAGCATTGCATTGTATAGATGGCATCCAGTACAGCACAAATAGCAGTCTAGATGCCAAACGCTGAATTTCCCTGTACATAATCACAGCCAGCTCAGCACTTAATGTTTTTTACTCACATCTTTAGACAAGGTTCGGGGAGGTTAGTTCATAGTGCTGCTGCTCTTATTTATTGATGTTAGACAGCTTCTTCTGTCAGTCTGAAAAACTGTTGGCTCAGATTTTAATGGCACCATGTCAACGCCGCTTGATGGAGGCGAAGGAACAGGCAGCTGATAAAGAAGTACTAAAATGCCTGTAACACCTGCTTGATCTTCCTCGCCAGCTGCGCTCGTGTGCTTTCCTTCCTCCTCTGGACATGGCAGCTATACCAGCATAACATGCCTCAGGAACTTCAGTAAATTTCTGTTTTATGTCATCGATGATGGCGTGAAGTAATGAATGTTGCTGGCATATTTTTCTGGCCAAGCAATGCAGTCAGTTTTGAAATATAAATTGAACAGTCGTTTAAAGAATGTTTTCTGCTGCTGAATTCAAATCACCCTCTATGAAGCAATTTTTTTTTTTTTCTGTCTCTGACTCCGATTCTATTATATAAAGATGCCCAAAAGGCAAATTGCATTGCAGAATAGCTGATGAAGTGCCAGATACATTTCATTAAACTCAGATGAAATAAAGTAATAAGAGAGTGCTAAAAGGAACACAACACTAAAAGGAACCATTTATCAATTTAAAAGCTTGAGTGCTTTGGTGGCTTGATGGTAAACAGTAAACTCTGTCCTTAGCTACCATGGGAGACGTTCAGAGGGGATTCTGCACCGGAAATCCTGACAGAATGTATTCTATCCTGATAGATTTCATAATTACAGATGCCATCAAACCACAATAGGTTTTAAAATGCTGTAATTAATGTAAAACTGTCTGCAACCTACAGGCATTTTATTTTCCTGCTGCCGCCGTTTTCCTTCTGACCCTGTTTGCAGGAAATACTAGAAAGTAGGAAAAAAAGACTATTGATCAGTGTTCTCCCTGTGAATTTTAATACGTTTCTGCCATCAAAAATTAGACAATGAGTGACGGGTGTTTGCAGAAACACCGATAACTGCACCCAAAGGATCCAAACTGCACCAAAACTGCCTCCTCAGCGCCGGATGACCTGTGATCTGCCGTCAGTTTAGTCCATTGTTTGACATATTGATGTAGTCGTCACTAAAAATAATGAAATCAATTTTCAAAGCCGTCACCTGTGATGTATTAGGTCATTGATTTTAATGTGAGGCATGTGGCATGATATAAGCCTTTCACAATTACGCTAATGAATATGTCAGCTTTGATTAACTATCAGATGCTCGGCTCCTGTAATTACAACCGCTCAGCTCTGTAGATGCGCCGGCGCCCTTCCTCCGCCGTTTCCTCATCTGTGTGCACATCTTTGTCTGCAGGTGAAGCCGTTCCTGCCCTACGAGTACACCTGTGAGGGAATGCTGGAAAGAGTTCATGCCTATATTCAGAACCAGGTGAGTCTCAGTGGGCATAATCACAGTAATCAGCATAACAGGATCATAATAATATCATTTCTTGACATTCTTTGCCTCCCGATGGGGTAAGCTGTTCAGTTTTGTTTTGTCAATAGACAACAGAAAAAAAAAATGTGGAATGTGAGAATAAAGAGCAAGATTAATTGTTTAGTTATTTGTGTCTGGCTCAACTACTCGTGCCCTTTTCAAGTGTTAATAGCCTCGAGCAACCAGGGCTCACAATAGACCAGTGCAGTGCAGTAATTTGTTACTAAAGCTACTGCAGTTTAGTGAACAAACAGTATTAATCAGTTGTAATCATTGGTTGATAAGGGACAACATTAAAACGTGGATGCATGAATGGACTTGCGTGTGGAAACGGACACACATGGAGCGGAGCAGAACAGTGCAAATGGGGAAGTAGAGGAGCAGCTTACACAGCTTAGGCTAAATACCATTTAGCATACACTGTAAAAATAAAAAAAATCTTGCAAAAAAAAAAAAAAGTAAAAATGCGGCAGCAAGGGTGCCAGAAAAGGCAAAAACTGGCAGAATACTGTCATGTCAAAAACTGTAACTGGGATAATAATGGCAAATATATGCAACATTATTATATTTTTGGCAGATCTACCTACAGCAAAACAGCATCATTTTACAGTCAGGCATTGAGAAAGAACAAATCTGGTGATGTGGACATCAAGTACAATTTTAGTCCGTTTTTTCTTCATTTACAATTAACTTGTAAAAGAATACTTTAGTTCTGTGATTTTACCAGATATTATCTATAATATAACAAAACAGGGACAACTTGTGAAACAGGAGTCAGGAATTATTTACCATTTTTCAACCCTTACCATATACGTTTCTTTAAAATAACGTCAAGTATCTGTAAAATATAGATTTTTTTTTGGATGATTGTATTTACATGCAGTGAATATAATGTAATTTAATTATAATTGAACTGTAGTAGATGTTTTCATGTGGTCATTATGTGCTGTTTTGGCCTGTTTTTTTTTCACCTTTAGCATGTTAATACAGTTACATACAGCTAGAAACACATTTTTGTTTTATTTACAGTGTACAGTGCAATGTAGCTCCATCAGTCTGTTTGCCGTGTGTATTTTATTGTTTGTAGATTGTTCTTCAAGCAACATTCACAAGATGTCTGGGAAATAATGGGGATATTTTTTCATTTCCCTTATCTGAACACGAGTCTTTTGTACATGACACGTATCAATACTGATATAGATGATGTCGGTCTTGGTATTAGATCAGAAAGGAAGTAAAGGGGTCCTCCTGACTTTGTGGTTCACCTGCCAAACATCACCTGCTTCAACCACGAACTGTGTCCACATTTCCAGAATGTGTCTTAACAGAGATAAACACAACACCAGGGCAGATTATTAACGAAGACAGAAAAGCACAGCGTTTAAACACGAGGTTGAAAGCACGAAGGATGAGCGCATTCACCTCTGCTCATTAGATCAATCTTCCTTGTAAGTTGTCTCGGCTCTTTTGTTGACAGGAGAGGGGAACTAATTGGCTGCCGTGGAGCTTGAAGTGTTTTGGAGGAGCTTGATGCTGCATGTTGGATCTCTGTTTCCGAAACAGATCCGTTGTATTTTCTCAAGTGTTTCTGAAGCATTTTTTAGTTGTTAGTTATTATTTCTACATAGCTTTGAACAGACACATCTGAACCTCCCTGTCAGTCAACGTGTTCGGCTCTTTTAATTTTTTCATTATTTTAAGTGAGTTATTTTTGTCTCCTTGCTTACGAGTGTTGCACACCCATGAGCTGCAGGTTTGGGCAGATTTGATAGGAAATATCCTGGCTTTGGGCTGATCGGGTTGAAAGTAGTGTTGTGGAATTCTGGAAGAGATTGGTGTAGGATGAGAGACAGAGAGACACACCGGAGACTCAGATGACTCAGGTTGAAATAAGGTTTACTGATCAGGAGAAGTGACACTAACAGAACAGCAGCTCACGCACGCAATGCCAGCATCAATTCTGAGGATTTCTCTCACACCTTCAGTCGTATACCGTACTTTGGTGGGAGCCACATCTAGATTTCTGGGTGACAGGAGAACAAAGGTAGTCTTGGTGCAACTGGCCTTGAGAGGTACAGGGAGGGCTTGCCTGTCCTCCTACAATAGATCTGCATGCAGTCAAGAATCTACAGAACTTTAGTGGATTCGTACACATCTGTTACAAATACTACTTTTACATAAGGGGTTCAATCAGGGGCTGCAGGGTGGCGCAGTTGGTAGCACTGTTGCCTCGCAGCAAGAAGGTTGCCGTGGTTGTCGCGTCCCGGTGGGGGCACCGGAATCTTTCTGCGTGGAGTTTGCATGTTCTCCCCGTGCAGCGTGGGTTCTCTCTGGGTTCTCCGGCTTCCTCCCACAAGTCCAAAAACATGTTGAGGTTGATTGGTGATTCTGAATTGTCCGTGGGTGTGAGTGTGGGTGTGCTTGTTCGTCTGTCTCTAAGTGTGGCCCTGCGATCGCCCTGGGTCGGCTGGGATAGACTCCAGCCCCCCCCCCGCGACCCTGGTGAGGATTGAGCGGTATATAGATAATGGATGGATGGGTTCAATCAGAGGAGCTCACGGGAAAAGTTTAGTACCATCTCTAGAAACTTAACTCCAAGAGAGGATTTTTCCTTCACAAGTAGTGCAATCAAAGTGAGTGTCCGTTAATACTTGTGTGATCTTCTAGTAGCGTTTGTGTTTCTGAATATACACCCCATACCAAGCCATCTCAGATATTTTGGGGAAGACATGATTGAGTTCTTACAACAGATGTTGGCGTTATGTCTGAAAGGAGCAGGTAATGTCTGCAAGGAAATTAACCTGATGAAATTATCGTGATTGTGGCACGCATGGACGCAGCGCCCCCTTCAGGAGACAGTGAGAGTGAACATATAGTGTCTTGCCTATCCCAGACATGCATTTCACAACTTATTAATGAAATGATCCTGAAGAAACACTCTCTCATCTTGTCTGTACTACTGTGTATGTACAGCGAAATGACAATAAACTTGATTTGATTGATTTGAGTTGAACCTGCTCTGACCTCAGCAGCTTCAGTTATACGCAACTCAAGGTCATGTAGCTTAAAATGGCTCTGCACATAGTGTATTGAGAGAAACATGAAAAAAAAAAAAACGACTTGTATAAACTGCTGCACTGCTGCATAAAATTTCAAGGCGTATTACTTTAATGCACAGTTATAAAAAGGCAGGAGGGAAGTTTGTAACTGGCAGAAATGGAATTGTTGAATTACAAATGTCCCAAGTGTGGTTGAGTAAGGAGCTGTCACTTAAACTGAATGAAATGAATGAATGAAATAAAAGGAGGGCATATAAATTAGGTAAACAAAATTTTTTTTAAAAGTTCTTTATTTTTTTTTTTAGCACCAACAGAATGCACTTTTAAGATGCAGTGTTGGAGGTCACTCTCGATGTGTTTATGAATGCGGAAAGGACCAACAGTTTCAAAGGGAGAGACTCACATGCATTGACTTGCGCGCTTGGCCAAACTGACTACCAAAACATGAAAAAGAGAATCTCGGGTTACAAAACCCTTTTTCTCTAAGACTGCGATTACCCTGCTATCTCATTAATGCTGCATTTATGTTCAAAATCGGGCTGCAAGGTGGCTAAATTGGTTAGCACCGTTGCCTTGCAGCTAGAAGGTAGGTGGTTCATATCCTGTACTGCACATCCACATACTGTAAAATTATACTGTTGTTAAAATATTTAAAGAATCAAAAATTAACATCATATTGCACATATTATATTATATTATGTTATATTATATTATATTAGGCTGCAGGGTGGCGCAGTTGGTAGCACTGTTGCCTCGCAGCAAGAAGGTTGCCGGTTCGCGTCCCGGTGGGGGCACCGGAATCTTTCTGCGTGGAGTTTGCATGTTCTCCCCGTGCAGCGTGGGTTCTCTCTGGGTTCTCCGGCTTCCTCCCACAGTCCCACAGTTAAGGTTAATTGGTGATTCTAAATTGTCCAGAGGTGTGAATGTAAGTGTGCTTGGTTGTCTGTCTGGATGGATGGATGGATGGATGGACGGATGGATGGATGTTCAAAATCTAATACGCTGCACCTTTAAAGTTGCCTTTCTGAGGTAATAATTCCTGTGCTACACCACCTGGGTCAACTCCCTTCTTGCAAGAGCCAGCTGCAAGCTTAATAGACGAGCAAAGTGTCTAATTATTCTCAATGATGCTCATGAAGCTCAGTGATGAAAGAGAAAATCTGGCTATGGCTCATACATAATGGGCTTGTTATCCAACTTTTTGCATGCATCATGATGGTAATCAAGATGAGATATAACTATGACTTACACTGTTTTTTTTTTTGGTTTTTTTTGGCATCCTCTACCAAATATAACAAAAAAATACTGAACACACACACAGCCAGCGGACACACACTCACACATTTCGGTGCAGCATATTTACAGATGTTGTCATCCTCCGACGCATCTGTCATGTTGTGATGGTTGCTATATTGTCTGGCAGTGGCAGGTTAAGGAAATGTGGTAGCCTCTGCTCTGTTCTGACACCAGCTCCCTCCCCGCTGTCAGAAATAATACACACAATACACAACACACACACACACACAACACACACACACTCAGCATGCCGTGACTGTGACTAGCCGCCTGCTGTGTACAAGGGCAGACTCCCAATCAGACTCTCCTCCTTTTCCCCTTTTCTTCCACTTTTCTTAACCTTCTCTCTCCCCATTTCAAGAGGGGTTTTTTTTTTTCCAATTTTATTTCCAACTTTTCCAGCTGCACACATCTTTTAGCCTCATTTTTTCCCTCTTTCTGAAGGAGTCTCTCATCCTCGTTATCTCCCATTGACTTCCTCTGGCAGAGCTGGAGTCCCTCTGTGACCCTCGTACTATAGAGTCTGGTGGCAGCTCCGTCCTTTTCCCGGAAAGCTCTGTCTGTGTGACTCTGGTGGTATATACAGCAAAGCATATATAAGGCATATAGGGAGGGTATTTAATTAAATAACAAGCGAATAATAACGTTTTTTGATTTAATTTAATTCTTAAGGAAAGCAG